TCTGATCCTCAGTGGGACTTACTGCGGGTCTCTGGTGTCCGGCAGGTCTCGATGGTACCCCAGTCTGTTGGAGATCAGGATGTTGAAGGCGTGGCGATGGTATCCTGTATCCCTGACCTCTTGATCCACTTCATTGAAGATCATCCCTGCAAACCGACACAGAACCTGAAACTGGGTCGGTCCGGACCTAAACCCGAACTCTGGACTCAGCTGTCAACACCACCAACACTCACCCATCTCTGGCAACAGTTCAGCCCCTTTACCGGCTGCTGGAGGCCGACGCTCCGCCCTGTTATTGGACAGGCTTCTGCTGATTGGCTGGCTGCGGTGCTGCAAGGGGGTCCTGCTAGGCTCCGCCCCCAAGGAGAAGTAGAGGAAGAGGAGAACGGACCAGGTTGCCGAGGTAACGAGGCAGCCATAACAGAAGTACCGCAGCGTGACACTGGGCATGGTGTCCAAGCAAACATCGCCTCACATTACACTGCAGAGAGAGACACCTGTCTGTCACGCCTGAGGGGGTCAGAGGTCACACCTGTCTGTCCGACGCGCCTGAGGGGGTCAGAGGTCACACCTGTCTGTCTGACGCGCCTGAGGGGGTCAGAGGTCACACCTGTCTGTCCGACACGCCTGAGGGGGTCAGAGGTCACACCTGTCTGTCCGACACGCCTGACGGGGTCAGAGGTCACACCTGTCTGTCTGACATGCCTGAGGAGGTCAGAGGTCACACCTGTCTGTCCGACACGCCTGACAGGGTCAGAGGTCACACCTGTCTGTCTGACATGCCTGAGGAGGTCAGAGGTCACACCTGTCTGTCTGACACACCTGAGGAGGTCAGAGGTCACATCTGTCTGACACACCTTAGGGGGTCAGAGGTCTGCTCTTAGCAGTCAGGTGAACTCGTTTTGATTTATAACGAGTCTGACATGGTCGTGTTGAAGCAGCATTTTGTTTATCAGCAGACATGTCGTCATCGGTAAATAAATACTAAAACAAACAATAGAAAGAAACGACCGGTCAAGTCTGGGTTGGAACCTTCACCCAGCACCTCCACCCTGAGTGACGAGTGAGAGCTGTTATAAGAAAGGGTTGTGAAAACCTGTGTGTGGGGGGGGGGGTTCTGTAAGGATTCTGATGCTGCTCGTCTGATCTACATTGTGCACCTCAAACCCAGATTTTTGTTGTCATTAGAGATTCACATCTTTTTTTTAATGCACGTTTCCCCACAACAATGTGACTGCAGCTGACGTCACACTCTTCAGGACAGGTGTCAGGTGTCCTCATGTGAGTTTATTAATATTTGACAAGGGTCCTGAACGCATCACGGATTTATTCCTCGAACCACCGCAGGTTGGCGAGCCTTCATTCAAAACTCCAATGACTCTTCACCGGTTTTAAGGATTCATGCAGATTTACGAACCTGCAGCTGAGACGTTATCAAAGTAAAGTTATTCTAGATTATCTAATGGACTCCTGTAAAGTTCGGCCATGTTGCCACCAACCTGTTAATCTGTGCAGTCACCTCACCTGTGAACACCTGTTGACAAGCAGCAGCTGCTGGATTAACCCCATGTTTGACTGATAAAACACAATCGGGTTGTTGTTAATCTGAGGATTCGCTCCGAGACTCGGCTCTTTCCAGATTAACATAAAAGTTTATTGTTGAATCTGTGTTAAATTCTGTAAATCGGCTACAAGCTCAAACGGGATTGATGGAATTTAAGGTCGGATTTAAAGCAGAATAACGCAGATTAGTCTGAAGCATCTCTAAATTACAGCTTCGTTAGGAACTCCTTAGCTCAGCTAGCGTTAGCGGAGTGAACGGATGAAGCTCGAGTTTTCATGGAAACACAAGTTGTGATGTTCGGTCAGCTGTCGGACTCATACCTGCTCTCTGTTGACCGTCCATCATCGGTTTGCTCAGCGGCACTCCGGCAGGACGTCCGTGGGAAGCGGGCTCTTCGCCAGAGCGGCTGAAAACAGAAGGTTTTTCAACAGAGTTCTGAACGGAGGCTGAAAACTGTCCCAGCTCGCCGCACAGGAAACACGTGACCTGAGCTTCTTGCTTTCAAAATAAGACAGGCGGAAGTTAACGAAACTTCAACATAAAACTTAAACACACCAAAATAAATTCAGATTCTGTAAATAAAACGTGACTCTGTGGTTAGTTCACTGCCTGTATCAATGGTGGGAAAATATAGAACATTATAGGAATTATAAAATATTTACTGTTAAATCCGGTCCAAATTGTTCCGTCAGGACCGAATTTAACCAAACAGAACTTTCACCAGCAGCGGGAGCGCGCCTCCGCACCCGCTGCGCGCCGCCGGCGCACTCGTGTTATGGAGACTCTCCGGCGGCGGCGGTTCCGGGGAACCCGGACTCGGAGTCCCTGACATCCGGATCAGAAAGCTTCGGTCTAGCTTGAGGAACAGCGAACCCGAACCTCTGGGTTCCGGAACGACTGCGCAGGACTCGGACTCTGCAGGCGGCGCGCAGGTGAGCCTGCGACCAGAAGTGACGTCACCACCGAACGCTCAAACAGAAAACACCTGCAGAAAGTTACAGCTGTTTGTTTTCAACAGAACCAACTGGGTCCAAATCGGGTGAGGTGATGGGGAGCACGGAGGAGGAGGAAAGGAGCAGCAGGAGGAAGAAGAGGAGGCCGCTCAGGCTCCACATGCCGGTGGGTTTACCTGCTCCTGCAGGTGAGGGGGCGGGGCCTCAGCTGGGACACGGGATCCAGCTGGTTCTGGTACAGATTAATGAAAGTGGGAACTGGGTCCATGGTTAATGGGATATTCCAGTCATTGCGAACGACGAGTTAATATCTTACCTGCAGTAGATAGACATCAGTTTAATTCTGCCTGGACTGACGAGCTAATGGCTAGTCAGCGCAGAACCAGGACCAGAATGGACAGGCCCCGTCAGAAACACTGTAAGCCTCTTTACTGTTGATGAGTGTCACTCCATTCCTTTTGTCTTCTCCTTCTTCTCAGGTGGAGGTGTCACTGTGACAGGGCGGGGTCATCAGCAAAGTGGGCGGGTCATAACGGGCCACTGTGTTTGAGCCACTCTGATGGTTGTGATCCTTAATTGTCCTATAATCAGATTTGAATTGATCTTGACTTCCGGTGACGCCAAGCAGGAGCAGCAGAGCTCCGTCAGAAAACTTAAAAATATATTGACACAGTAAACTTTGACAACCTTCAGTCCTGAGTGTGATCATTTAACAAGAGGAGTTCTTCCATGAGACAAAAGACAGCTAGTGAACATGGGACCTCAACGGAAACAGAAGACAACCAACAGCCCAGCTAACGCTAGCTCAAATTCTACTAGCCGCCAGCTAACCAGTGAGTCCAGGCTTTTGGAGGAAAGTAAAAACTTTATGAAGAGACTATGCAGGGTCATGGTCAGAGCAAATCATCTTTGGACCGCTCGGAGCAGTCGGTGGCAGATACCAAGAACCACATCGGTGAACATGAAGAGAAAATCACTGCTGTAGAAGAATGGATGAGTTTGGTTGAAGATACTGAGGCACGACAGCAGGGGGCGCTTCGACACTCCGCCAGAGACCAACTCAAAACAGGCTGAGAAGAAACAACCTGAGAATCTTTGTAATACCGGAGGATGTGAAAATATGATTAAATTAGTAACGGTCTCAGCTAAGAGGGTCGGCGAGCTCTTTCCGTCAGCCCTTCGTGTCTCGGGGCCCTGATGGTTCTGGTGTTGTGGCCGAACACTGCATTTGTACCTCAGGTGTCATCTCATTCTCAAGCAGCCATTGAGGCTGGCACGTTTTGAGCCTTCGTCAGGAGGGACTGGCGATAGGGCTGGGTTACTGTGCCCAGTGAGGGCACTGGAGGCATACGTCATGGCTACGCCACTGTTCTTGTGTTATGGAGGCCCTAGGGTAGGTTGTCCTCTTTCCAAGCAGCGTCTCTCCCACTGGGTTGTGGAGGTCATTTGCCACGCCTAAGCTAAAGGACGTTACTCCCCGCTGGTTGGTGTGAGGGCACACTCTACCAGGAGCGTCTACGCTTCCTGGGCAGTCTTGAGAGGAGTTCCACTGGAAGCAATATGTGCTGCGGCATCATGGGCTTCCCCAAGGATGTTCACTATGTTCTGCGATGTCAACATGGCCACCCCTTATCCTCTGGGCCAGGTTTTTCTGCAAGGGTCCTCTGGGCCTTCTCAGTGAGGAATGTGCTCAGGATCCTTATCGCTGGTATTAGTCATTCAGTGCTTTCAGCACCGCCCTCTGGTGGTCAGGAGGGATGAAATGGAAAAAAGTTACGTATGTACCTACGGTTCTATGAATCCCGGATGACCACCAGACATTCTCTGTCACTCCAAATCATTGCATTCCATGAGACGATTCTGTAGGAGTAGAGCCGCAGATGGTGCTGCGTAGCCCCTAGTTAATCTTCCGATGTGTCACAGCTGTGACTCTGTTGGTTTTACTACTCGAACGGTGCATGAACGCAGGGAACATGCAGTGCTTTCAGCACCGCCCTCTGGCGCTCATCTGGGATTCATAGAACCGTAGTAACACACGTAACTTTCATTTTAGCTGTTTTCAGTTTTTATTGTTTTCAATTTTTGTTTCATTCATTCATTCAACCTATTTTTCTACAGGTTCGTCCCATTGAGCCTCGAGGACTCATTTACAAGAGAGACCTGATTTAACAAAGAATCATGACAACAATGGACAACAGCAACAACAATAAACAAAAAAGTCATACAATTTTTTTTTTTTTTAACAAATAGGATGGCTAAAAAAAAAAGAAAAGTAAAAATAAAAGAAAAGTATCAAAAACAGCTAGATTCTAAGGCGAATGTAGAAACTAACAACAGGAACATGTCTGCATTGGTCCCTGCCAGGAGTCCAACAGATTCTTAAAGACACTTAGAGAGGTCAAAGGTCGAGAGCTTCAGATGTTTTTACAAGATATTCCAGGAAACAGGAGCGGAGCAGGAGAAGGCCCTTTTGTCTAGTTCAGTCCTCACTGAGGGAACACTGCAGGTAATGATGTCCTGAGAG